CGGCATCCTGGCGCCCTTGAAGTTCATCTCGCTCGCCGGCGGCGGAGGTCGGGGTTTAGCTAGGGTTTACTCGGCCGATTTGGGGGCGAATGGGATGCGGAGGAGGAGGGGGCGGGCGGAGGGTGGGGAATAGGGGATGGAGGAGGAGGAGGGTGGGGGTGTTAAGTGGGTCGGGAGGGTGGATCGGGGCCGTCGGATCTCGAACGGACGGCGCGGATGGGGCGCGTTTCTTTCCTCTGCTGCAAGAAAGGGGAATGGAGGTGCTGCCTTCCGGCCCAAGATGGTCTCGTGCGGCTGACTCCTGGGTCCCGCGCGGGTGGGTTGGTTGGGGCATTTCTCTCGTGTGTGGATGGTCAACTTGCGCCCGTGCACGACTAAAAAAGATTTTTTTTTACGGGGACACACCTAAATAAGTTGCACTCGTGCTCGTGCACAACCTAAAAACAAGTTGCGCTTGTGCACTTGTCGTTGTCATTTACCTTTTTTGAGTGTGCCCGTGCACTCCTGCACGCCCTAAAAATAAGTTGACAATAATTAAAGACACAACGCTGACACTAAGCTGCTCGTGCTTGCAGCCAAGTCATCGCTGGGGCTGGTCTGCTTGAGCTGATGCAAAAATGAGGTGAAATGTGTGTTTGGTGTGCTGCATGATATGTGGCAGGCTAAGCTCAGATATTGTTTGGTTTGTAGCATCTAGGTTGTATGACAGATGTAGCATACACCAATATGTTGTTTGGTAGGCTGTATGATGTGGAATCTGATCTTAGTGCGTTTGTACTTGTGTGTAAATAAATAGAAGATTATTTCAAATATATTTGTTGATTCAAGTAATAGAATAATATGTTCGCATGTCTACAAGATTTAGTCAAAAATATAATCACGTGTCTTGAAAATGAAAGAGATGATTTAAGTAAGAGAAACAAAATTTCAGCAACATATTGGTTGTTTGTATAAATAGTTAATATACAAATAAGCAGTTTATGGTACAAAATATCTTTAAAAATGCGCCAAGATCATAGAGAGTGCACATAAAGCAAGTATCCATTCCAGTGCAAGTATATCTTAAAAGTTCACATATATAGAGCCACAAATCCATATGGTCATATTCAATCCAGTACATCCTAGAGTTCACGTATATTAGATAGCCAGAAATCCATATTTTCCATATTGCAGTCCAACAAAGAAACATAACATAAGGTCCATATTACATTTCCTACATCACATATCTAGGGACATGGTTTTTCTAACCAAATACGGTAAAATATGGTCAGCTTGGTGTGAATCAGCACATATTTGCTCACACTCCATCCTTGGGCGCTCCATCCTTGGGCACGGACACTCCACCGTTCAACTTGGAGAGGTGGTGAATGGCCCAACGAGTGCGACGAGTCTCCGACATATGCACAAATGAGTGGCTCCTAGCCCTGTTGGCGTTCATACTATCTGCACCATTTGCATAACTATTTTGTCTACTACTAATTCATTCATTTCCATAAGCTAGCAAAGTGTTCTAAACATATCACACATTCATGCTAATGACAGATCTGAACCTACATAAAAAGTACCCATCCATCTCAAATCCATAGGGGAAGAGGAGGTTCTGGTGATAGATCTGAACCTAAAAAGGAGAGGGGAGGCGATGGGAAAAGAATCCATTGGTGCTAGCCACAGAGAAGGCCCTCTTTCCCGTCCATGACTAGAGGAGGCTGCCGCTTCATCCATCCGCATCAGAGAAGAAGTGCAGCGCGAGCGGCAGAGAGATGGGGATGGGAGGGAGAAGAGATGGATGGGGACAGATGGGAGACAGGGAGAGGGAGGGGAGGAGGAGGGTTCTACCTCCATAGCGGCGAGGATGCCCCGGCGGCAATGTCAACGGAGGCGGCGGGGCTGCGAGATCCACTGCTGTCGCAGGAGAGGGAGGGGAGCGAGGAAAGCGGCATGAACGAGTCAGGTGAGAGCGACGAGAGCAGAAACCTATCCCTTTCTCGCGCGGGTGCAGGTGCGCGTGCAGCGGCGGGTGCGGGCTCGCGGAAACGCCTGAAACCTGTGTTTCCCATGAGCCTGGCTGGGAGCCTCTTTTTGCATGCGCCGAGCCTGGCCTAGATAGATGTGCAGGCTACCAAACAATGAGAAATTTGCATGGTGGGTGCGAGCCAGGTGCGAGGCAAGGAACCAAACACACCCTAAGGCCCTGTTCGGCAACCCTTTGCTCCTTCAATGCGGAACGAAGCGCACGGAGTGACCTTCCAGCGACTCTGCAAATTTTAAGTGGATGTTGCTTCGCTCCAGAGCGGAGTTGGAGAGAGGGGAAAGAGTCCGAACATGCTCTAATTATCGCCTTTTACAGGGTAACTAGTAACAAGAGCATCTCCAGCCGTTGAGCCCCCCAGGAGGCATTTTTATGTCGCCAGTGCTAAAAAAGGCTCCTGGGAGCACGGGTGGAGATGCTCTAAGGATAAGATAGACTAAGTGATGGTACAAAACTGAAGAGAACAACTAACAGACGATCCCCGGCCGCATTGCTCCCGCGAGCGACACGGGGGCAACCCTAGCGCCGCCTTCCTCCAGCCATTCCCACCTCTCCTTCCCCGCGCCGACACTGGCAGGCAAAGCCCACGGTGATGGCGTCGACATGGATTCTCTTCCTCTCTCACGTGGACCAAGGGGTGGCGCAGGGAAGCCCTTCATGACAGGGCGCAAGATCCACGAGCGGCATCTGCAATGGTTGCGATAGCACAAGGAGGTGGTGGGCGGTGGCGGCCGTCTCTTCCATGGCCGGTGGGTACGCAAAGTGATCTTCTCCAGCGAGTTGTCGAGCTATGGGCGTGAATCTAATCCATGTTTAGATTCGTCGTGGCGTGGCTCTTGGCTTGCAGGCGGCGCGTGAGTGGGCTGGTCAGATGTAGCTGGAGGTCCTCTGCCGGCGTTACGGCGACTGCGTATTTCTTCATGGCACAGCTCTGCCCAAATCTAGTCAGCTGCGTGGTCGGAATGGCACGACTTCTGGTGAAAGTCGTGCCGACTTCGGTCATGGTGGACGATTGCGGTGTCTTTGGCGTTGTTTCCTTGTCGAGGCATTGTCGTTACGTTTCGCGTCACCTTGCTCGGACTGCTCCGGTGAAAACTCTAGATCTGGGTCCCGTGTGCTTCATGTGCTTCACGTGAGGGGACAAAGATAGTTCACTTTGGGGGAAGCACAATTGTGCTTCACCACATGCGAGCACAAGCTAGTTTACTTGAAAGCATGTGTTAGCACAGTTTGGAAGCACGTGTTAGTTCACTTTTGGAGCATATCTTTTGTCAAAAACAATCATCGAACATATTAACATGAGATCCAATTTTAGAGATCTGGACACAAGGAACACATTGGTGACTAATTGTTCATAATTTGGATGCACGGTTCAAGAGATAAATCATTTTGAAAAAATAGATCGACAAAAAACCAAAAAAAAAACTATCTATTTGTGACAAGTGGCACGCATGTGATGTGCCACTTGTCACCATCAGAGGAGGTGAGGGTGACATTTGTTGGGGGACCCTCTTAACTAGTGATTTTAAATAGACAGAAATATTATATTTATTCGACCCAGTGTGTAAAAGAAAGCCCACCATCAACATATATCTCTTTGAGGCCTC